AAGAGTTCAACAAATTCAGATATAGTTAATTAAATACAAGCAAAAAATTAATTAAGCGCTCATTTGTAGCACATTTATAGCAATTCATTATTAGCTTCGTAAGCTCTGCGTTTCTGCGTAAACTTTATTATAACTGGATGAAGATGCAAACTATATCTAGGGGCTTCACATATTAGCAGATCAGTGGATCTTTAGATGATAACCATTGTCACTAATAATCACTCTGAGGTAAGTGGAACGCAAAGTGTGTTTCATTGTCCTCACAATCAGCTCAGGTAATTTGGAGAGGCAAAAACCACCAATCACACCATGTTAGCATAAAAAACTGTTGGCTAAACTTTCACAATCAATAACGTCAAGTTATTTGATATATGATGCATCCCTAAAGGTGCCACTTACCATCTGGATTATGGTGAGGTATTTCTTCCACCAGAGGTACTTCTGCATCTGAGGTCCCAAGGCAGCCAAGCCATAATACCCGTACATGAGGACGTGAATGGAAGAGTTGATGGTTGCACCAAAAAATGCTGTGGAAACAGTTACATTTATATCAGAGGTGATGGTGGCTGTGTTATTACTAAACAGCCGTAATGTGCCTGTTTTCCAGCTCCAAGTACAACGACAAGCTCTAGTCTGATTCTTTGACTCACATTGTCCACCGGGAACCCATTTGATTCCAATCCACCAGAGGATGAACATGGTGCAGTGATGGTAGACGTGGAGGAAGCTGACTTGGTTGAACTTCTTCCTCAGTATGAAAAAGACAGTGTCCAGGAACTCCACTCCTTTGGAGATGTAGTACCACCAAAGAGCCGAGGCTATCTAAAGATATAAAATGTGGCAAGGTGAATTATCACAGCACATTGAGGTGAATCTGTCACATAAGTCAATAAACCTTTTGAGACCATGCATGGGGACATTACATTTGACTTCTCTGACTTTTTTGCATCTTATATTTCACTCTTCTCAACACAGACCTGTTGCATCCCTTGCATGCTAAATAAGACCTCAGCTCTCAGGAGGTTAAGGTCCTATGTAGGTCATATTTAACTATTTACAGCCTGTTTCTGATTCCTTTTCTGAAGGTTTCTTCAGTGAAATATTGCTGGTAACAAATGTTCTGCAAATAATGATTACATGGAGTTAAGATCATTGTAAACAAAGCCAATGGCAACTGTAGACAACATCCGAATCCCACATAAAATAACATATGTAATTATATATTTACATAGTTATTGGTACAATATATATTAATATTTCTTTAGTGGTGAGCTCTAGCTTATTGGTATTTTTCCTACTACACAAATAATGAAGCAGATTCCTTGCCTGAGTTTCCTTTGTACTAATAGAAAATCTTTAGATGACAGAAAAATGTAGCAATTGAGGATCTTTGGAGAGATCAGCAAATCAAATATTTTTAGTAACCCCTTTATACTAACACAGCATGTCAAAATCTCTCTTTCTGTTATCCTATTTAACTCTGTCGCAGTACAAATTACTCCCCTTGTGACACACAGCACACAAGGTTGTTCTCTAAGCCATCTTGCTCTGGCATCTCTTATCCTTAAGGCCATCATGAAAGCGTGAGGCCTAAAGGTGGAGATGGGGCGGAGCTTAAGGGTGGTGAGACTGACTGGCCCCGCCCCTCTGAATGTTGAGCCAAACCCTCTTTGTGCTGAAATCATTAGAAATATACAGTATCTCTCAGCCCTCGCTCTCCTTCATGCTTATAGTGATATATGTACAGTCAAGAAATGTGGCTCTTCTTTCCTGTGTCA